CCCTATCTCAAAAAAGATATATTGGAACTGGAAAAGGTACAGAGAAGGTCAACAAAAATGATTAGGGGTATGAAACAGCTTCCAGATGAGGAGAGATTATTAATAAGACTGGGACTTTTCAGCTTGTAATAAAGAGATGACTAAGGGGAGATATGATAGAGGTCTATAAAATCATGACTGCTGAGGAGAAAGTAAATAAGGAAGTGTTCTCATAACACAAGAACTCGGGGTCACCAAATGAAATTAATAGGCAGCATGTTTATAACAAACAAAAGGAAGTATTTCTTCACCCAATGCACAGTCCACCTCTGGAAATCTATGCCAGAGGATGTTGTGAAGGCCAAGACTATAACAGGTTTCAAAAAAGAACTAGATAAGTTCATGGAGGATAGGTCCATCAGTGGCTATTAGGATGGGCAGGGATGGTGTCCCTAGCCTCTGTTTGCCAGAAGTTGGGAATGGGTGACAGGGAACGGATCACTTAATGATTACCTGTTCTGTTCATTCCCTCTGAAGCACCTGGCATTGACCACTGTTGGAAGACAGGATACTGGGCTAGATGGACCTTTGGTCTGACCCAGTATGGCAATTCTTAAATTCTTATCACATCAACGGTCCATCAAATCTGTAATCCTGTAATAAACAGAGGGAGGTGGAAAATACCTTTCTGTTCAATGCTGTACATGGGACAAAGATTCCTTCTTATCCCCTAGACCAAGTAGAGGAAGTCTTGAAGCACAAGATTTCATTACCCCTGTCTCGACATGCATATAACTATAAATGCTATTGGTTATTGTTATCCAGCATCTTAATATCTGACTAGTGTATTTGACTAATGCTGCTGCACAAAATAAATCATATTAATTAAACAGACACCCTAATACAATAATGCTCACTGATGCTAACACCCACCATGCAAGTTTTAGATCTGATTAAATTAGTATAATGTGATGTTCCACACAGTAAATACAATGAGGTTAGAGATGGGAGAGATGGCTGTTGAATATTGAGTAAAATACCCTTTCTTGCAGAATATTTTCTGCTTTACTCAGACACTTTAGGTGGGTTAATTTCAGTGTTTTCACTAGTAGCCAAATATGGCCCCGCCTATAACAGAAACTACATTTGAAATGAATGCTACATGATCAAAGTCAGCATGTCATGGTCTGAGCATGGAAGCCAGGAAATCTTGAGTTCGAATCCCAAATTAGCCACTGATTTACTCTGCAGCACCTACCACACATATCTGTGCCTATTAATGCTGTTGGAAACCTTCTCACTGACTTTGGTGGGAGAAAGATTTGGCCTTTATTGTCTCTGTATCTGAGTTTCGCCACCTGTAAAAGGAGGATACTCACTTACTTTCCAGGGAATTTTGTGAGGTTTGGTTAATATAACACCTTGAAAATATAGAAGTGTTACAGATTAATGTAATGTGATATATACCCTCTGAGGCCCAAATCCTGCAAAGATCTATGCAGTGTATAAAGTTAAGCACGGGCCTAAGTCTTTGCAAAACGAGGGCATACGTTTGTACAGTGAGCCTTTAGGGAGAGTTGGAGTAAGCAGCAGAGGATTTATAAAGCTGAAAGCTATGGCGAACAGCTGAGATTTATTACATTTAGAAATGAAATTGCACATTTTTGCAGATTGCTAAAGGCCTGATTCAATCCCCACCGAAGACAATGGGAACTGGATTGAGCCCTCATTAAGGTAACACTGTGAGCTCAGTTTGAAGACTGGCTGTCTAAAGAGGCAACTTTGAACATAAAATGGACAGGTTTCAGAGTGGTAGCCGTGTTAATCTATATCAGCAAAAACAACGAGGAGTCCTTGTGGCAAATAAATTTGTTAGTCTATACAGTGCCATAAAATGGACACTTATGACCGAAGTGCTCATTGACATGAGTAAATGAATGATTTATCAGCACAATTTAGACAAAGTAGTTTGAAAATCTGGCCCAGACACACTTACTAAAAAAAATACAGATTGACTGTCAAGTTTTACACTTCTAGGTAACTTAAATATAGCATGTATATAGGTCTGCAAACAAAGGCGTGAATTTGCAATAGGTAACAAGTGCACCGCTATTAACAGACTGTGGCACTATAGTGTTAGACAGTCAGCATTTGCAGGTTCCTTTAATCACATACGTATCAGATGGAGGATGGCATACAGTAATTTTTCGACTACACTACATCTCTGTAGCAGTTCTGACAATTTCAGCTGGTGCTTCCTCTCGGCAGAAAAATAGTGAAGAATTCACATCCAGTGAAAACAAACAGCACAGTGATAGTATTAGCAGAATAAACTGAGTGGATCTTTTATATGAAAATTAAATAAGCTTTGCTAAACATTAACAGAGGCTGGACAGTATCTTCTCTACTGACACTAAATATATATATCCGGGGCTTCAAAAGTTCACAGCGTCAGACAGCGAACAGTTTTGTTGACTGCATGACTCAGCAAACGTTGCTACATTGAACGATGACAATGTATTGAGTGTTAAATACAGTGAGATCAGAAGCCTTTCAATCAGGTGACTTGTCAGCTTGCGTAAACAGAGTTTATTATATAAGAGTTCTAGAGAATGTTTTCAAAAAAAGGAAAATATTGATTTTTTTTTTGATATTCCAGTGTGTTCGGAGTGAAAGGGCCTCACAAAAAGAGCCTGCCAAAGCATGTCACGGGCAGACGGAAAGCTTGTGACCTTGTCCCTTTCTCCCTTGCCCCTCCCTTCTGGATGTGTGTTTTGGGGGAGAGAAAATAGGGAGATTCTTCAGAGCCCTAGGGCTTGTCTATACTT